CTCGACAGCGACTTATACTTGTCAAAATATGGTACTTTTATACGAAATATTATCTTTTGTCAATGATTTAATGTATTTAATCAAAATATACGCAGCAATAATCATGTTGCAGACAGAGTGAGAAATAAGTAAACAACAATTCAAATGGGTGTGCATGCTCGCCTGCACGGCACATAAATTCTCGTGTGCGGCAACAATTTGAGCAGTGCGCAGCTTAGAGGGAACATTGCTTGGTACCTGTGTGTCCTGTATGTGCACTCCAAGCTCGTGTACTGCAGTGCAGTATCATCTATATTTGTTTGTAATGTTTTCTGTAATCCATTGTAAATCTCGGGCTTTACCATTCTGTATGCATCACTAATCTTATGTTTGTGTAACTTTTCTATACTCGTGTATTATTAACCTACTTATCTCTGCAACTGTATTTTGTACAATGTCTAACACCAATTATAAACCTCTTATGCATTCAAGAGGTATATTATTGTTGCTTTTGTTGCAATGTACTACCATCTGTAAACTGTTACTCAGTGTACATTACTCTTGTCCTCTTGTTCTGCATACTTCTTGTAAGCAAAATCGCACTGTACATATCACGTTAATTATTATGTATATTTATGTTGTAGCTCTATACATATACATTTTTATGTACTCGCAGCTTTTTGGGGCACATCAAAGTATTTCGGTCAATTCTTTATCTGTAATATGTATTGTTATGCTTTCAATATTTGTGATGCAGGTACCATGTACACTCATCTATCTTCTCCACTTTGCCCCCTTTTCATCCCCTATCCTTCATCTCCTTTACTCCCATTTCACCAACTTTTTTCCTCCAACCTCCAGGTCATACCTATGAGTGGAACCTGGAGACCCCCTCTTTCAATTAAAATGTAAAAATAAAAAAAAACCATTTATCCTGTATTATATGCATTTTGCTTAATCATTTACTACTTAAAGAATTTACAGCTATAAAACTTCTTATCCTTTATCGATAAACATCAATAAAGCATTAGAATGGCTATATCTTAAAACAGGAGTTATTAAGCTTTTTTGTTTCATGGACCCCTTTTCCAGTCAGGTGGAAGGTTACGAATTCCTTTCTCAGAATATTTTTAAGTGCATAAAATAAAATTACATAAGAAACAGTTATTAAAACATTTATTAAAATAAAAAAACATATATAGTAATAGACGTTGTATGTGATTTTTTCTTAACACAACAATTAACGATACATTTAAAATATAGGAAAGTTAAAACTGATTTATACCCTTCCAAGCCACAGACCCTGGCTAAGAACACTTGTCTTAAAAAGACTTACCACACCAGTCTGCTTGTTTATAATTTTAGTGACATTAGTAGTGGACTGATTTTATGTTTGCAATAATAATGTAAAACACACTGTACTTATAGTTTAGCATTTCCGATAATATTTAATTTATTTTTGAATTTTTGAATCTAAGTAAAACATATTTTTTAAATTAAGTTTTACACATTTCTATCTGCAACTTCAGGTAATACAAACATATAAAAATTCATCAAAAAAGTTAATTAATAATAATTAAAATCGAAAAAATAAATAAATAAAACTTTCAAGGCAAGGAAACTTGTAAAAAGTAAGGTATGTGATCATCTGATGCCCATGGGACATTACACTTTGTATAACCAAACAGTCAAGGTTGAAATAAAAGCCTAAACTTCAGCAGAAGTAAAAAAATTACTTTTTTTATGTGTATTTTTATTGTTATATGATTCAAAAATGCAAAAATAAACATTAAATTTAAGAAACTTGCAGTAAATTATCTCAATATGTTATTTTATTGTACTGAAAGAATGTTTTCTTTAACGTTTAATTAACAACTAATTTTGTTAGATCTGATTAATTTTATATTTTAGTTGCAATTTTGCGAGCATGCTGGTCTCCCTCATTTATATGCAGCATACCTGTCATTCTGCAAAAATACAGTATGAATTGCTTCCTCTTACTTATTTTTTTTGTTCCTTCAATGAACTATTACTAAATTTTGGTACTTTTTGGTTAGCAGGACACCAGTCAATAGATGCAATCTAAATCACAAATGCATCTGAATTTTTCCATTATACAAAAGATTATATGTTTAAAGTGAAAAAGGAAGCAAACTTACTATTTCTGTTAATAGGATTTAAAAATTTATGAAGGAGGATTGTGAATTTAACACGCATACTATTTTTACACTAATTTCAATAAAACGATTAGCATATTTACATGCTTTAATCACTTTATTTATGCTTTTATGGAGTGAAAATACATTTTATTCTACTACAATTGTCATTGTAATTATTTATAAACATTTATTATATTTATAATTTTGATTTTTTATTATTTATTATGTTTATTTTTTTTTTTTAATTTTTACAATTCTAAGATGGGATGTCATCATTTATAATCACAAATTTCACATGATTATGTAAAATAGTTTTACACATCTGCAATAAGTGTCTTCATTTAACTTAATTTTTTTTGTTTGTAGCATTTGTATAGCAAGTATTTGTTTTTTCACGTTGATTTATTAATACTTATTGAAAATGAATTATACATTATGGGATCTGCCCAACGACGAAGAAGGTGCTATTAGTTTATTTCAAAAATAAGGAATTTTGCACAAAGAATCACCAAATGTAATTATTATTGCCTTACTGTCCTTTAGTTTCTTAATATATATTTTTTGTCAACTTGGACATTAATTATTAATAGGACAATTATACTGGTTTTTAAGTTTTTATGCAAGATTTGAGGAAGAAGTTCTTAAAGAAAACAGACAGGTAGCTCAATAAAGAAACTGTTTTCTTTAAGAACTTCTTCCTCAAATGTTGCATAAAAACTTAAAAACCAGTATAATTGTCCTATTAATAATTAATGTCCAAGTTGCCAAAAAATATATATTAAAATAAATCACCAAATGTCTTTGCACTTTTGCTCATCAGATAATCCTAAATGGAGATGTCATATAAGAACATGTCATGAAAAGAAGGAAATTAAAACCAACAACTGGTTTGTAGGATCACGCATATCATTTTTAAATGCCATACATTTCATATATCTATGGTCGTTGGAATTAACATATTGTGATTTTTGTCAAATGCAACTAGGCCTAAATCCAAGTACTATACATAAAAGTTCAATTTTAAAAAAATAGTAAGTGTCCTGCTAATTCAAAAGTACCTAGTTTTTATTTTTGTTTTATCTCTTTTCTTTGGAGCTTGCTCTAATTCTCTATATGTATTTTCATTAATTATGCCTAATGCAATTATTTAATAATTGTATTATGTTGTTTAAAAAAGTTATTAACTTTAATCATATTATTTTAAAATTTCATTTCTTCTCTTCAATATTTTATATCATATAACTATATTTTGTAATTTTTCCATAATGTCCACTTTATATCTATCATCTATGTTTCTTACTATACTCTCTATATTTACTATTAAATCTTCTTTGGAAAGTTTTGTTGGTCCATTATAATCAATTCCTTTCATTAAAACTCTTGTTATATTAATATGTAATTCAATGTTTGCAATATTAAGTATTAATTTTTGTTTCCATTCTTATGTTTTAGTTAAACTTCCATACTTTAATTTAGAGACTAATTTATGATATATCTTCTTATAGTATTCATATAATTATTTTGTTGTTAAATGCACAGGAAATTAATTGCTATGTATTGATATATTATAAATATGTATTTTATTTGAATAAGGTAATTTATATGAATATTTTATCTATAATGGTAAAATAGTTTAAATAATAAGGGGTTTCAATACAAAGGTATTGAAACCCCTTATACTGAATTAATATTCAGTAGAAAGATGATTAAACTAACCTAAACAGTTTAGCAACACTATTAACTCAAGAATATATAAAATTCTTTAAACAGCTGGGAATATATTAAGGATTAAATAGGGTATATAAAAAATACGTATTTCATAATTATTATCATCAAATAAACTAATTTCATTATTATGCAAGTGGTAGGATGAAGACAAGATGAAACACAAATAGGAGTGTAAATATTATCTGTTTGGGAAACTATGAAGATATATTAACATTTGGACAGCAATTACATTTAATAACAACAAAAGTGTACTGAAAACTATCAAAAAATGTAAATAAAATACTATAAAGTGTATTGATAAGTTTGTATTGCCATGAAATTGTGATTATAAATGCAAAACATTGTTATGTCATTAGTTATTAATTAACCTAATGTAAGTACAGCTGTTGATAACTAACTAGCTTACATTTAGCAAGATTGAGCTTGACATAATAGTGGATTATTATAATAGTGGATTATTATATTTGATTATTTTTAATAATTAATCTGAATAATTAACGAATAAATATGTTGATCTGAATACTAATTAAGCTCTTATCAATTAAATATTTCTATCAATATACTTCAACTTTAACAGTTTAAAGTCATATTTATTAAAATAACTTATTAAAAACATATTAAAAGCACAGATGTTTTTGTTGATCAATTTGCTTTATTTAAAATAAAATAGAATAGAAAGACACATTCAGAGTGATGAGTCACATTGATAACATTTAAATATGTGTACAATTTGTTCTAATAAGGTACAAAACTAATAAACAAACCTTTATATCATATTATAAAAAAGTATATCAAATAAAGTGCTATATTCCATTTATTCCTATATTCAAGCTAAATACAAATATTTGACATTGCCAGAATTTCTAACATTTTAAGAGGAAAATCAATGTGTTTAAAATGAAACTAACGATTACATAAAAACAATAGCTAAAATCTCTACATTATAAACTACTCAGTTTAAGTGGAGTGCATGATCCATGAGTGAACAGAACAATAGTTAGTACTTCCATCACCACTGATGAAAAATAATAGCTGTTTTGATCAAATTCATTGTATCAGTTTATCTCATATGTTGGTAAATTTCTGATTTACTTCATAATAAATAAAATAAAAAATAAATAAAATAATATTTACTTGATTTAATTTTCTGGATAAATCATTAGTCAAACATTCCTCTTCTTGTTCATAATTCAATGCTAAAATTTCTTTTTCTTTCTTCAATGCTTGAATTTGCTTTAAAAGTGTATTGCTTATATATTCTTCTTCTTGTTCTGCCTTAGCTTGCTGTTAATATAGTAAAAAAAAATGTTTTACTTGTAATTTTTCAGAACATTTTAAATATTAAAACTTTTAATAAGATTTATTGAAGCAGTTTTTATTAAACCATGAATATAATATAGATCAGTGGTTCCCAATTAGTGGTACGCGTACCCCTGGGGGTACGCGAAATTGCATGAAGGGGTACGCGCAGCAATGTAAAATCAGTCGATTTAAAATTTAAATGCATGAGATGAAGCAATTAAAAAAATAATGGGGGACCATGAAAAATTCGGCAATTTACAACACAATGTGGAATGCACAAATTCGTTTATTTATAATTAAAAATATTCTCGAAATTTCATTTTAAAAAATGCATTTGTGACAATACCTAAATTCTTACGCAAGAAAAAAAAATTGTACAATTATCATTATTATCATGTCAGTGAAGCAGCAATAAAATATTTACTACCATTTTGCGCAACATACGTCTGCGAGAGCTGATTTTCGGCCATGTTTGTCATGGCCAAAAATCAGCTCGTTTTCATGTGTGTTAAATTATTGTCAATTCCTATGGAAATTCATTTTAATGAACAATAATTTGAAATAATTCAATTTTGTGTCAGGCTGGCCTCTACTAGGCCCCCCATAACAAAACTCTGGCTACGCCAATGATCATCACCGACTTCGACTCGAAGATGACTAGAGACCAAAGCTGACCAAAAAGCAACCAGATTTTACAAAGTTGTGCAAAGAAAATTGTGCACATTTGTCACATTAAAATTAAATAACTTTGTTATTTTCATTATTATTAGAATTGTATTTTAAAGGTAATAAATGTAAAAAAACTTATTCTATTAATCACTTGCTGTCTACCCACAGCTTCGCCTGCATTATATTGAATTTTCACGTGGGAGTAAGATATTTTCTCATAGTAAAATGTAGCCTATGTCCATCTTCAACGTGTAAGCTGTTTCTGTGCCAAATTTTATTAAAACCTGTTTGGCGGTTTAGACGTGAAAAGGTAACAGACAGACAGCAGACAGAATTACCTTCGAATTTATAATATTAGTATGGATTAATATGAATTTCTGCTATAAGGGGTACGCGAGTTTGAGCTCTTTCTTGAAGTGGTACACAGGAAAAATTAATTGGGAACCACTGATATAGATAAAAAAATAAAAGTTTAAACATTGTATTCCTTACATAATACATAAAATATAATAACAATAATAATAACCAGAAACTATACAACACATCACTTCTGGTTGCAAGCTCTTGGCACAGACAGATTATTTACACAGACATAATCAAGTAGCAAATATAATACACCAAGAGCTTGCAAAGAAACACAAATTGGTAGACATTCACGAACCATACTACAAGTATATTCCACAGACAGTATTGGAAAACAACACACACAAAATGTACTACGACAGAGCCATAATCACAGGTAAAACAATTTACCACAACAGATCAGACATCACACTCATTGACAAACACAATAAATCACATACATTATAGACATAGCCATTCCAAACACTCACAATGTACAAAACACATGCACTGAAAAAATCAGCAAGTACACAGAACTCGCCCAGGAAATAAGGCATCTGTGGAAGATGGATAAGGTGCTTATTGTGCCTGCCGTTCTCTCCTGTACAGGTGTGATACCACACACACTACACAAAAGCCTGAAAACATTACAATTGAAGAGAAATACACACATCACACTACAGAAGGCCACTATATTGAATACATGCCATATTGTTAGGAAATTCCTGAATACAGACACAGACAAACTTATTTAATTTTAGTTCTTGGTTGCTATGCCTTGACTCTGGTCCGGCATAGTACACAGCCACTGGTGTGTACCGAGTATAACCCACTAAACCCAACATAATAATTACAAAGTATTATAATTTTTTATTTTTAAGTACAAGATGTCTATAAAATACATTTACCTGTTAAGTAGTTTTGGTTTTAGACTGCTCTAATCAGATTTACAAATTTTTGGTGTATATTATTGAAGCCATGGAAGCAAGTTTCAAAAGTTGCCACCAAGGAAAAAATCAGCACTTGGCTAAAATAGATCACACAGAAATAGCTATACATCTTTATTATTCAATTAAAAAGAACATGCTTGATATGTCCATCTTCATTTTTTAATACCATTTAAAACCATATAATAGCATGCTTAAGGATTGACAGCAGAGTCTCTTGTGAAATATTAACACGTTAATGGCATACAAGAAACACATGACTCATACAGATGTCTAGTTAGGGCAACATACAAAAATGCTTGTTTTCTTTCCAGTGGGAGCATATAATTTGATACCTAATAATCCTACAGGCATCATACTCAAAATATTTGATGTTATATCATTAGGTGAGATAATATATATTAATTTTAAATAAAGCTTAGTTTAGTGAAAGGTGGTTTTTGGGCAGTACAAGTCACATATGTCTTGTGTCCACAAGATGGGGTTTTAGTGCAAACACATTGTTTCTATTGTTTCTGCATTCTTGAAAGTTCTTTGCTCACATAAGTCTTTGTGAGTCAGCTAAAATGTCTTATACTAGTGTCATTACTACATATATTTTTTGTAAGTTATTTGGTTTAAATGGGATTTGGGCTAACTTCATTTTGCATTATATAAATGAATTTTTTCATACTAAGTATCATCTCATATGACTAGAATGTCTAGCCATCGAAACATGTTATCGGATAACCTAATCAGTCAGTATATGAATGAACCTAACAGCAATGAATCCAGAATATCTGACAATGAATTAGATGATTCAAACTTCAAACTATACTCGGATAAATCAGAATCATATTCTGGATCAAAAACCAAAGGTGAAGGGCCTCCTGATGCCTCTGATGAAACTCAGGTGCCAGCAATGATGACAATGACAGAAATAATTCTAACATTCAGCAGTCTACTACTTCTGTTTTGCAACCAATTGTCTTGACACTTCATAACATCCCACAATTTCAAGAAAATCAAAAGTTGAACCTTTGTAACACTAATCTGGATGATTCACATAAAATTTATCAGATATTTGTCAGCAATGACATCTTAGATATAATGAGATCAACAAATACACTGATCAATATTTAGCAAGCAAGATTTTGACATCAAGATCACATTTGAAAAAGTGGTGCCCTTCAATCAATGAAAAAATGTCAAAGTTCTTGGCCATCATGACTTGCATGGGTCTGTCTCTCTTGCCTAATATCAGACTTTATTGGTCCAAAGACTCTTTGTATGAGAACTGCCTCATAAAATTGGTAATGCCGTAAGATTGATTCAAAATTCTACTGAAATTTTGGCATTTTGCTGATAACAATTCTCTTGACCACAGTGACCATCTGTACAAAATTAGAGAAAGTCTCATCAAATTATTTAACAAATTCAAAGATGCTATTTAATCCAGGAGCACAGATTGTCATAGATGAAACAATGATTCCTTGGCGAGTCTGACTTCTGCATTCCTGGAAGGATTGACTTCTGCACTTCTGCATTCCATATCACAAAAGTATGGCATCAAAGTCTACAAGTTATGCAAGCCAGGTGAGTACACTTATTCCAGCAAGGTTACACAGGGAAACAGATATCAAATTCTGGAGTTTTACACAGCCATGCTGTCTGTATGCAATGCTGGTAGATCCCTTTACACTGACAACTTTTATACAAGTATAAAAGTATAAATTTAGCTTGTGAGTAAATGGCACTCTTCTTGTATTTTTATACAAGACTGTGGGACCCTTAGAAAAAACATGTGAGGTGCTCCAAATGATTTGGTAAAAAAAATGACTGAAAAAAGGAAGTTGTGGGCTAGAGGATAATCTAGGAATCCGGGTAATAAAATGGGTCAACAAAAGACCCATTGTCATGCTTTCAACTGTGGAAATGCATACTAATGAACTCGTTGACACTGAGAAGAAATCAAAAAAATCCCAAGAGCCTATGCTGAAACCACAATGTGTCATTAACTTCAATTATGTAAAAAAAGGAGTGGATCTGTCAGATCAAATGGCATCGTACTACACCTCTCTCCAAAGAGGTATCAAGTAGTACAGAAAGCTAATGGTAACTTATTTACTGGGCATTTCCATGATCAATGCCCATTGTATCCATTTCTTCCAGTACAATAGTGCAAGACAAAAACATCTGTCAATAATGAAGTTCTGTGAAGTGGTGACAAAAAAATACTTGATGACTCTGTCCAGACAAAACTAATGACACCTTCTTGTAATGGTAAATGCAGCATTCATACTCTGGAGAAACAAGGTGGTCCTGCAAGAAAAGTATGTTGCCGTTGCCAAGGTTGCTATGCAGAAGCACGGAAAAACACCACCAGTCAAAAGATACAAAACATTGCCACAAAGCAAGTGACAACATTTTGTTATGACTGTCCTGGACAGCCAACACTTTGCATAGCTTGTTTTAATAGAAAACATCATTCTCTATGACATCCAACATTATCACATTTTTATGTAAAATTCTATTTGAAAAACTGTTATGTATTATAATTTCAATAAATGTGAGTTTTTATTATAGTTTTATTTTTATATCTTTAGCTTAGTATTTGGAAAATATAAATTGTAAAGTATGTGTTTTGCTATGAAACATTATATTAAAACTCAATTAGATGAATATTTAAACATTAATATTAATATACAGCTTACAAATTTTTGTAGTTTTATATATTTTTGCATTGTATTTGCAGCAGAGCTGGCCCTACCATAGGGCGAATGGAGCAGCCGCTCCAAGCGCTAAGTCCTAGGGGGCGCCTCAGTGGTAAAGAAAATTAAAGGGTATAAATTAGGGGCAACCAGGGGGTGCCATAATAGGATCTCGCTCCCTCCTAAAACTTGCCTCGGACTGGCACTGATTTGCAGTGATAGCTTTTGTGGTTGCATGTTAAATGTTTTTACTTTAAAAAATTAAAGCCTCAATTTTGATTTCCCATGGGAGCTCTATGAATCACATTTGCCTTGGACTACAATATAGAAATAG